AAAGGCTCAACGGATTTATTTATAAGTTTTGTTTTTACGGGGAAAGTTGAAGAGCATGACAACAGCAAGTTGCTCGGTGTGTTACTGAGCAACTACACTGGACTTTAAGGAAAAGGCTGGTGATCTTCTTTATCTTGTTATTGTCAATAAACTCCATGAAAAGACCAAAACCAACACTTAATGTATCTACTGACAAGCATTGTATGTGTGTGTATCAAAGCCTGATATTGATATTGTTATTATTCATGTTTTTATGATTAGCTCTACAATTATTTTCTCCTTCTTTTGTTCTTGTTTTCCTCTGTGTGTCCTGTAAAGCGCTTTGGATCAACTGTGTTGTGTATAAAGTGCTTTATAAGTTAAGCTGAGTGGAGATGATATATCTTCTTCGTCGGTAGAGCTCCACTAAAAGCAAAAACACAACAACGAGCCACACTGTTGCACTGGGCTATTTCTTTACCATGAACACATACACTAAAGTTTATTTTGACTCAATCCCACATAAACTGTCCTGCTGCCATAAACACTAAACTAGTGCACTAAATGTGGATTAATCCGCCGCTCAAAATAGTCCTCAACAAATGCAGTATTTCCTCCTGCTTCTGCTAAAAAAAAAATGCAAATTGCTGAGCCTTTACTAGAAATTAAACCAGTATTTGTCAGGGTTAGACTTACGTTATAAGAATAACACATCGTTGATTTTGATCTTTTTAATAGGATTTGTGCAAAAGAGCAGCAGCCTTGTTCATTACATGTCTGGCTCAAATGTACTTCAGCAATGGTTTTGGAGCAACAAGAGATTGTATTCATTCACCCACAAATACCTGCATTTGGGGTATGAAGTAGCCAACTTCATATGTCACAGTCATAATACATTTTATTCTGTGAGCTCAAAATTAAGAGTTTAATGGTGAAGACCTGATAAATACCTGCGATAGTGGAACATTTTTGTTTTCTCAGCTGATCATAATGCAAAATATTGACCTGATGTTGCTGCTGGTGTAAAAACATTACTGGTGGGAACCAACATATCAGAACACACTGAACTGGACCTTCTATATTTTAATATTAAATTATGGACCAGATAGTGTTTTGAAGAGGATCTACTCATCCCAGTATGAGGCGACATGTTGCTGGCTACTGATTGAGTGTAAAAAAAAATCCAGACAGAGATGGCAGTGAGATCTATTTGATTCAAACGATTTAAATCAAAGCCTTTTGATTTAATTGGAAAACTAAAACGTGGGCAAATCCAGCACCATACAGAGCTTTAGTTAGTTATAGATCTGTAGAAGAGTGCTGGCCTCCTCCACCTCCCCCACCCTCATTGTTAGATCAGAAAAGAGGAGAACGGGGGAGAAATTGATAAATCTGAGCACAACTACACTCTTTTGGAAATAACAAAGCAGCAAAACACATAACCTTCAAGCTATACGTGCTCGGACCAATCAGTGTCCTTATGAGGAACTACTGGCAGCAACATGAGCTACAGACGTGGTTCAACAACTAGGTATGTGTGACAATGTGTGGGAGAAGTGACTGTTTCAAGTGTGGTTTTACATGATGGGCGGGGTTGGCTAGTCACCCCAAATCACACTTACATATACGCTTCACAGTTCAGGCATCATCACAAATATTTTATTTGATTTACAGGAAGAGAGAAATTCAAAAATGAAACTGTTTTCTATTTTGGCATATATTAGTTTATCAATGGACACACAATTATAGGAAGCACATTTTATTTTTCAAGTAGAAGCTGATCATCAAAAAAACAGCAACCGGTCTTGCTAAAAGTTGTAACTCCGGACAATCACCAGACCTTGCTGTGTTACAGTGACGTCGACAGTCAGCACACTTTGATCACTATGAAACTTTTAACATTGTGTCCTCTGGTTTATCCAGAGTAACCACAACATTGTACTGGGATGGGGACAGAGAGCAATATGTCTGAACCTGGACGTATTAATCCAAAGCTACCTGCTCTGTTAAACACCACTAGAGGGACGTGAGAAAATAATACTCAAAGTCATAATTTTATGGAAGTGAGGACCATCCACACTCTGGAGAATTTTCCTCGGTCCAGTTATGTTTAGAAACAGAACACAGACACTCAGTAAGTTTAAGAGAGGAGGAGGAGGAGGGATCTCTCTTTCTCTCTCTCTGTCTCTCCAGTCTAAACAGCCCAATCCTCAGATACTAAACAGACTCAACAGACCTGCTGCTGCCAAGACAGACAGACAGACAGAGACAGAGACAGAGACAGAGAGAGAGAGAGAGAGAGGGATTTACAGAAGATAAACTGAGCACAAAGATTCCCATTGCTGACTGCGATACTCCTGATCTTAATCTGAATATGAAATGATATGGGACAGGGTGAAATTAGCCGAGCAGTAACCATGCCAACCAGCCACCTCAAACCCTTATCATCTCCGCAGCAATCCTGCGTGACATCCACCTGCCTGTTCAGCCATTTCAAGAACCTGATTCCAGTCTGCAGATACAAAAACGAAGCTTTTTTCCACAGCACCGCATTCACAATCTGTTTGAGATGACAGACAATTTGGAGTTATATTACAGAGAGACTGGACTGAATCATTTTATAGTACAGTGATTTCTCTTTTCCTTTGCATTGATATATGTGAGTCATCCCAGTCTACTGCGCTCTGCCTTCAACAAGTGCTCTCTGATTTGGAAATACCATCAACATGTAGTCCAGGACCGCTCCCAACAATAAAGAGCGGTGGGGAGTAAAACAGGAAGGGTTTGAATCCTTCTCCCGCCACATCTTTAGAGCAATGCATTTTACCATTTCTGATTTCTGTTTAGAGACAGCAAAAGTCATGATGTGGGACAACCCGCTGAGCACGAGGTACGTTAGGATAAGAGTTGTGTGGTCATCCAACTCCCCAAATTCTGTGAGAACAGCACTTTGTCGGTGCATTGACATCAGTGGACAAACACCAATCAACAGCTGCTCATTGATGCCGCAACAAAAGGAGCCAGAATTGATGATAAAAATGCCAAATATGGATGAAATGGTGGACTTGTTTTCTTCAGTCGCAACACCCAAAACATACCGTAGGGCTGCAACCAACAATTATTATCTTTAATTAAACTGCTCATTATTTTTTATATTTATTAAGGCTATAAAATATCAGAATATAGTAAAAAAAATAATAATAATTCTTCGAATTGCTTGTTTTTTCTCACCAACAGTCCACAACCCAAAGATATTAAACACAGACAAGGGAATCCTCCCATTTGAGGAGCTGGACGCAGTAAATATTCGGCATTCTTGCTCGATAAATGAAGATTATTTTCTTTTGACCCACTAATAAATGAATGCTGATGTGTGTCTGGCCTCTTCAGAAGATTCAGACTCCAACAATGAACCACAATGTGCTTGTGTAGTGTAAAAGAGCTTTGAGTGGTCGGAAGGCTAGAAAGGCGCTATACAAGTACAGGTCCATTTACCATTTACCATTTATTTAGTAACAATATAAATTATTGTTTCTAATGGCGACATCTTCTGTGGACACAACCTTTACAAAGAGACTCGAATAATAAACCAATTTGCTTCAGTGTGTGTAACTAACTGCTGCTACATAACGGTGATCAAGCCAATATCAACTTCAAGAAGCATTTGAAAGTATATTATATGATCATCTTATGTTATGTTTACCATAATATAGAAAAGATTTGACTATAAGAAAACTGTGTGCATACAATATTATTATTATTATTATTATTATTATTATTATGTGGTTGTAGTTAGCTAGACTAATCATCACATCTACCATCTGTTGGTTAAAATGAGATTATGCAGGGTGTGTGGGTTACTTTTATTTGGGAAGAACTTAAAGGTTAAAAGTTCTTCTGGATGTTGGACCCTCTGCAGTGTGCAACAGCACAAACACACTCACAAACACTCCCCCTCCTTCTCTTATACTCTCTCAGTTTACAAGGACTTCTCTTAAAGATCTTCTCACCCCAAGATCACAAGCAAACTAATCTCAGCATCACACCTAAACTTTTTTTAAAAAGGTAGGTTTTGTTGTATTATTAACATATTCAATGAGCAGAAGATAAAGGTACCGGCATACAGAGCGCTGGAGCAAGAATACAATCAATAATTACAAATATCTGGTCACATGCTCAACCTAAACACTTCAAATTGGGCCGAGATAAGATTTGTCCACATAATCCTATCTCCGGGTCAAAGGTCATTAGGCTGACAGGAGGGCAAAAGTAAGAGTGAGATGGATAAACTGGACTAGATACCTGCCCCTTGCACTGTCACTTTCAGAGATGTAACAAGACTAGTTCCACTCCTGATGACTTATAATGGTCACTGACATTTATATTTTCATACTCATAACAGAAGCATCATTTCAGTCACTTGTAGATATTTATAGAGTTACTGGTAGCAACCTGTTAAATGTCAGTTGTTTCCTTTTTTTTTTTTGGTTTCATCTCATTATGAATAAAATATACAACTGGTGTCAGAGAATCCATGAAGAAAATAATCATTACATGCATCCCCCTTTCTTTCTGCCTTTCTTTCACAACATAACAAACAGAAACTTAAGTGAGCAGCTTTTGTCAGTGTGTGTGTGTGTGTGTGTGTGTGTGTGTGTGTGTGTGTGTGTGTGTGTGTGTGTCACTCAGCTGGGACAGCCTGGTAAAATAAAGATTGTGGTTTTCTAAAAAAAAAAAAAGGTACCAGTGCAAAACCACTAACAGGCTCAGCTCTGTATTGGAACAGGTGTTTGACGTAGTCATGGCACGGAGCCAGGTAAAGTTACGCACAGCTTCAGGCTACACACACACACACGCACACACACACACACACACACACACACACACACACCTTATTTCTTTACGCAAATAAGAGTAGAGCCTAATAGTGTTGGGCAAGCACCCGTCATGAAAACGGGACACACACACACACACACACACACACACACACAGCCCAGAGTGAAAGAGGAAGGTGCACTAACCGTCGCCTTGATGGGGACGTACAGCACCGGTCTGTCCGAGGACCCGTTCTTGGCGTCCTGCAGCGTCCCGACCTGGAAGCCTTTGGACTTGACCCAGAATTTAAATTTGGCGTTGATGTGGTTGTTGCCCTTCTCGTGCAGGAACACGCCGTTGCTGTTCTCCTCGTCCCCCTGGAGGAGGGTCTGGAGGATCTTGTTGTATTTGCGCCGGGTCACGGTCTTGGTCTTGCCGGAGTCCCCGTACGTCCGCAGGCACCAGTCCTGAAATTCCCCGAACATCTCCGCCCCTCCGCCCGCCGCCTCGGACGCCGGAACCCCGCTGCTGAAGCCGCTGGGACTCCGGCTCCTCGGCTGGTTCTGGTGCTGCTGGTGGTGGTTGGCGGTGGAGGAGGTCGTCACCGTGTCCGTCCCGCTGTTGGCTTTTCTCGTTGTCATGATAAAACGAGGTACACTTTGTGTCTAACAAGAGAAGAGTCCCCCCCCCTTATAAAAAAGACCCCCACTTTGCTGTCCGTTAAAAAAAAAAAAAAAAACGCCTGGGAAACGCGAGCGTCGCCTGAAAAGGGGGGGGCTGAAATCCGTCCAAACCTGCAACAAAATCTGGTGAAAGAAATCAAACCAAAAAAAAAAACCCCTAAAATCCTTAAGAAATAAACGAAGCCACAACAAAAAGTCCCGTTTTTTTCTTTAATTAACGTCTGAAAATGAGCCGTTTGGATCCTCCTTCCTCCTCGCTGCTATTACGCACCAATGGAGAGCTGCGGAGAGACCGGCAGGAGACACGAATAAGCGCTCACTGGGATGCCAAAGCCACCAAATGTAAGTCCAGACCAGCCCCTGATGTGGATGTAATTATGGGTTGTTGTTTGTTGCAGGAACAATGAGACAAGAAGAAGATAACCGGGGGAGGGAGACCGGCCGGACTGACGGGCGGTGCAGATTGTGGAAGCCCTCCTCAGACACACCTGTTAGAAGCGTGGGTCGCTCGGCCTGTCCCGTGGGGGATGTCGGTCACCGCCTCCCCTCCTTCCTTCCTTTCTATCACCTCCTCTTCCTCCTCCTCTGAGACGGAGGGGTTGAAAGAAAAGAAGATGCACGGCTGCAACAGTCTTCACCTGTTAATCTCGGTGCGAGCGGACGGGTTTGTGCCGGTTTTTGGCCGCCGGGTCACCATCACCATCAGAGCCGAGGGAGCGCGTGGTGAACGGAAAGGGAAAACCTGAAATTAGCGGATTGATTTGCACAGTGACAGCGCTATTTCTTGATGAACACTCAGTATATCCCGTATTTCCCCCCTCTCTGCCGCCTCTCCTGTCTCTTCCTCCTCCGTGGGCTCGGGCTGATGGGAGACAACCGGACACCTGTTTGAATCCTGTTTGTCTGTCCTCCTCTGGCTTCCCCTTAAAGCGCAACGCTGCGACTCATTTCCTCCCTCCTCAAAAAAAATATGAAACGATAGGTAACAAGGCTGCTGGTGTAAAAGCCGTGTACGACAGCGCGTTCCCAACAGCGGCTCTAGTCCTAAATGCATACAAATATGTGCTGCGACACACCAGCGGTCCAGCCTGTGAACCCGGACTGAGTGAACGGGACATGCACGCTGCAGCTTAAAGAGCCTCAAAAGCAGGAAGTGTCCAAAAATGACCAAAACGCGCAGCACGCTGCTGGCAGACGGTCCCGTGGCTGTCAAATAAAAAGGGGGGGTGTAACACAGACTGAGGAGAGGATGAAGCCCCCAAAATGTACCAAAAACAAAGATTAAGTTTATTATATACTATGATTGTTTAGTCTTCATATTTTAACATCGGATCCGTCTGATTGTTCCACTTCATACACACATTTAGCTGATTAATAAAGGACATTTTCTTCAGGTGGCCTGAGATGGCTGCAATACAGGCAGTGATAAATAAATAAGAGCACGTTATGTATATTAAAGACGTTAGTGTTTGTGTGTTTGTTTGTGTTATTTGTTTGTTTTGGTGCCAAAGAACAACTGAAAGTCAGTCAGCTTTACCAAGCACTCTTGGATTAGAGACCTTTTCTGCTCTGTTAAACTGGAAAAGGACATAATTATAATGTACACAGAAAGGTTTATCTATTTAGCTATAACTTTACCATCCATATTCTCCATTTCTGGTTGAGTTAATTATCTCTTTCCGTCTTTTATAGATGTATTTTGTCTATATTTGCCACGTAGCTATGAAACTTTTTATTTATTCTCGCTATTTCCTGTGACTTATTTATAATATAAGTCAGCTTGTGTTTCGGCAGTTAAATGCTTTTAATGTGTAGCTGCGGCAGTAAATGTTCGGTCTGCATTAGCAGTAAGTTAAACACACTACAAGAGGTGAAACAGTCTCAATTTAAAGGTTCTATATGTAACTTTCGGTAAACCTTTGTTAATAGTGACACCAGTGGCCGTTGAGTGAACTGCAGTCAGTCTGTAGCATTGACAGTATATATAATGGACAGAGCTTCTGGGTCTGAAAACAACTCTCTTACAACCTGCAGTCTTTCTATTGGCCAGCAGGGGGAGCTCCATTGGCTGCAATAACACATAGAAACCATTCACTTTAATGGAGAATGAGCCGACTTCTGACTTGATTTATGAGCTCAGTAAACAGTTTCCTAAAGAGTTTATGGTCTCAATCACTTGTTTCAAGTCTTCTTCCATACAGCAGGATGTTCATTTAGTAAATTATGTTCCCATTTAGAGTAAAATAGATCATAAAGCAGGGTATGCTACTGTGTTGACTATTTCTCACCTAAAATAGTCTCAGAAACATATTTTAATGTTTCTCTGTAATACAAGATCGTGTGTGACCGGGTGAGCTGCCACCGTTTCCTGCTATGGACGAGTGAAAACTGCGCAGCCAATGAGAGCAGCTCAAATCACAGTACGTCACCTCCGCTGGCTCCATCTAACTGTCATGGGGACGGCCAAAACGCAGACATCGATGCTTTAAAACAGTCCACAATCCAATGCGTAACGTCACAACAGGTTCACACTTGGTCTGTAGCCACAAGCGAGCCTCATCCAGGGTATCGGCCAAAAAGGCTATGGACTGAATGCTAAAATAAATTACAATCATATTTAGAATAACGTTAATATCTGCAGTTATTAGGATGCCGCTGCCTCACATCACTTTTGTTTAGTAGAAAACAATCGTTAGCAAGCTTAAGTTAGCCAGCCAGCTGCAACCCAGCCATGCTGAATAACATTACCCCAGCTGTCGTTTGTAGACGTTAACGGAAAGTCAGGGAAGGTCTCATCTCAAGTTACGTTGTTCACACACACAAAAAGTGATTAATACATAAAAATAACATGTAAAATGTTTCAGACTGATGACTCTATATGACCTAGTTAAACATATAAGACCATCAGCCAGAAGATCAACTATTTCTCTGCAGTTAGTCTTAAAGCTGCAACTTGGTCATATTCCCATGAATCAGAGAAACGATGAAGTAGAAGAAACACAGAATGAAAGTTCCTTGTAGCTGTTTTTAAGACTGCATTGAATGTCGCCCCCAACAACAAGTTTATAATGCTGCAAATGCAAAAAAAAAAGGGCTTTCATCAGTGAGCCAGAGGCTCTGTCACAACTCTGTTACCTCATCCAATAGTTCAAGACAAAGTACAAGATCAGTATACTGTAAAAATACGGCAACAATTCCATAAAAAGTCTTGTGTTTAATCAATTATTGGAAAAACATGTCCTCCTTTTTATCTTTAGTGGGCTCCACTACTGCAGACCAGTGGATCACATCAGTCCAGTTCTCAGATGTTTGGCCTTGTGTGTCAAAGAAATGACTTTAAAATACTATTGTTGGTTTTATAATGCTACGTTAACACCTCTCAGGTGGTCTGTTTACTGCCCCTCGGGCCACAACTCAACATAAAGAAGCAGCACTCTTTTTCTGTTTATGCAACAAACTCAGAGAACTTCAGGTCACTGGAACTCTCAGTTCTTCTGTTTGCCACTGCCTTTATCAAACTAAATTTGGGACTTTATATGAATGTCTCTAGCTGCACTGTATTTGTTTAATATTCTTTCTATCTCCTATTGTAATTTGAATCTTTTTTAAATCTTATCTTTGTCTTAAGTCTTATGTAAAGAGCTTTGAATGCCCTTATTGTTAAAAGGTGCTCTACAAATAAACCTGCCTTATTTTATAACACAATGAAACAAAAACCAATCAAGAGCCGCCCACTGCTATGATATCAGATTTTATTTTATTGATTAACACTTTAGTAATGAAGACATTTAATGGGAGATTTTATCCCAAAGTGCCTCGAAGCACCATGAGTTCATGCATTTTAGCCACTAAGGCCATAAGAGGAATCAGACTTCTAATGTCTGCACTGTTCTGCTTTTGCACATTTGTGTTTAATGATCTGAAATAAAAGATAGTATTCTTCTGATTCTATTAGTGTAAGCTATTAGTATAAACAGAGAGAAGTGAACCCAGTTAGGCATTTATTTTGAGGTGAAATGTTTTGGTTCCTTATCTCCCCCCGTGTCAGTTTGTGTATCTTTTTATCACTTTGTGAATGTCTCTTATGCTGCGTACTAGAATAGACGATCAAGTTAAAGCAATTCCTTTTTTTTTTTTGAGGACGATTCCCAGCTGAGGCGTCTAACCGTCATCTGATAGTCAGATGCAACCTTGAAATCACTGAAGCAAATCGAGGTACAAACAGGCCACCAACCTGCTGTAGAAACTGCTACAGCACACACACTTCAAAATAAGGAAGCTGGCACTAAACCAGGCTGTCTGAAAACACTCCCACAACACAGCATCCTCTAGCAGCCTTAAAGAGGAACACCACTGTGTGTGACAGCTCATGTTCTCTCCAAGCAGCCCAGCCGGGGCTGAGTCGGTTTGTTCAGCCTGGTATTTATTTATGGAAAGAAGTTTATTCTCTTATGGATTTCACTGTGTACATCCTGGAAAGCATTTGAAGATGTCATTTGAAGATTTCCTGAATTTATAATTAGCTCCCCTGCAAATCTAAGCACATATCACTGTTTGTGTTTACATATCAATAACAGATGTGGAATAGTTTGTCATTCCTGCTTACGTGTCTTCATAGCAGCCATATTGCCTCTGTATAAGCTTTAATATCCATTATCCATCCATTATCTGTGAGCGCTTTTACTTTGCAGGGTTGCACGGGGCCGAGCCCAGCTGACATTGGGAGACAGGAAGGGTTAGCAGTCCACCATTCACGCTCACATTCACACCTATGGGCAATTTAAAGTCACCCATTAACCTGCATGTCTTTGGACTGCGGGAGGAAGCCGGAGCACCAGGTGGAAAGAACATACCAGCTCCACACAGAAAGGTGTCCGATCCACAGACCCCCCCCAGCCACAGACCGCTGCACTACTCTACCACGTTAAGATATAATATAAAGGGGTAGTATGATCTGAATGTGATTGCAGGCCAGTCCAATCACAACGAGAGAAAACAAGACTCAAAACTGACCAGATACTGAACCTGGAGCTGACAGAAGACTCACATTTGTTGTCACATCATTAAAGTTTACTTTGAATGAACCCTTAACATGTACGCAAAACTCAAATCAGCATTTTGGGTCATACGCCATAGTTTTAATAAAACTGTGATAGATTTCCACCTTCACAAAGCTCCATATAAAGTCCAACGACGACAAGAATCATTTCTGTTACAGGCTGATAACAAACAACATGCAGTTTAATGGCTGATCAATGAACCTTTTATTGCATAACTACACTATTAACCAGCCATCCCTGTTCTCTCGAGTAGAACAGAACAGCTGTGGTAAAAACAAAGGAGGTTTCAGTACACACAGACACACAGACACACACACACACACACACACACACACACACACACACAGACAATCTGCCATCATACATATTTATATTACAGTATCAGTACTGAGTGTGAAAAACTTACTTATCCTCATCAGACAATTTATTAATTCAATCGTGATGTAAATCAATACTTCTGTAGACTTTTTATACAGGACATGATCTGATTCATTCTGTGACCAGTAAACATCTTTGGTGTTAAATTGCTTGATCTCTCCAACTCATTTCAAAGGCTGGAGTCTTCTCCATCCTCTATATAGAGATCCTCCCAACTGGAGAGCTATGCTTTTATCTCCCAGGCAATTACACTATTACATTCCCATAATGATCCATCTGATGATGAATCTTCCATATAAAAAGCAGTGAGTGATGGTGTTGATGCAGCGGCTGGATGTACTACAGGTTGTACATGATGCTCTGTGTTGTGTGACTGCAACACAGAAGTATTTAAAGATACTTTACTTAAAAGCTACTACAAAGAGTTTTTAACTGGTTATGAAACAGTCTCAGTTTAATACTGATGCCTCTGTATGACCTACATAAACAAACAAGACCATCAGTGAGAACATCTGCGGTTTCTTTATCATTGTTCTTAATGTCTGCCACAGGTCCAAATTCAGATTTACCGCTTTTGTCCACAGGGGCTGCCAGAATCGACACAAAATGATTTACTCCGATTCACCAAAAGAGCTACAGTCTGATATAGTCATAGTA